AAAATTCCATGACAAACACAATTGAGCTGTCTAACATACCAACTCAAACTAGGCTTTGTAAAAGTCGTTCCTCAAACAAAAGAACACTGAAAATAAACTCTCGACGAAAGACATCACAGATCGATGTTGCACAAAGCTTAATTGCGCAGTTTCAAATAATGCCCATTATGTTGTACCGAGCTGTAAATACCGCTCCGAGATATTATAATGTAAAAGTGCAAAAGTTACAGCCTAATAGACTTTTACAATCGTTATATTGTTATGGCTGATAGATCCCGCCAGAGAAAAGTAAAATTACTTTTGTTGGCGAAATTCCATTACAATAAACATTTCTGATGTTTTTGCGATCGTACATGCACTCCATAGGTTTTTTGGTTTCCCTTATGTATGTTATATATGCATGTATCAAGCAGCTTTTCTTTATAGTGCTTAGCTTCGTGAGTATCAGATGTGTCAGTGTTACATATATATATATATATAAATATTTATTTATTTATTTGTTTATTTATCTATTTAACACTTGTTATTTATTGTAAAGTTGTTTTAAAAGAAGAGACGCATACTTTTATGGCGAAAAGTGGTTATAGTTTTCTCCGTTTAAAGACGTCTGATCTTTGTTAATATTTGGTTTACATCTTTATTACCCTGACGATTGTCTGTAACGTCAGAGTAGCGTTCCATAGCTTTTTCAGTTTAAGTTCTGATAAGCAAAAAAAGTTTATTTTAGAGGCGTAGAGTGTATGCAAAAGGTTGTGCTCAAAAATTTGGTGTTAGCATCTCTCACTCGCAACAGTTGTAGCTTGGTCGTTTCCTGCGCTATTCTTCCTTTGGTTCTAGATCTCGTTTAAAACATTCGGATACCATTCTGTCGCACGTTCTCAATTAGTGTATTATAAAGCATAAAACTTAGGATGGAAAGAAGTGGTAAAAGGCTTTTGTCTCACACAGTTTTCGTTAGGAGAACATATGAGGTTGAATAAACACGGTCAGTTCCTGCTTTGTCTGTGGTAGTCATAATGAAAAATTTCACTGGAATCTTGTGAATGAGTATAAGAAGGTAGAATTTAAAATGTTTAGTTCAGGAGTCCCTTTAGAATCCAGTGGTGGGAGATGTTGTATGGCTTTGCTAAAGTCGTTATGGGACCAGTTGCGCGAACGCCTATAAATCCAAAATTTTCTTAGAATATAGAGGTTATAAGTCCTGATTAGCAAATTTATCTTTTGATGTTTTTAAAATTGTGAAAGCTTCATTTCATTTTTTCTGCAAATTAGGTTTGCACACAGGTTTGCAATCGCGATAATACCGTGCCTTAGGTATGTTAGTTTTAAACGGATAACATTCATATTTGTTAAGTAATGAGTTCCTTTTGAAGTTTGAGGGTAGCTTATGTATTTTTGAATAATTTGGAAAAAAAATTTGTTTTTTTTTTTTCCAAGTTTCACTCAACGTTCTTAAAACGATGATTTTACGGGAACTGTAAGTGCATATTGCCATTTTTATATTTGATCATTTATCGAAACGAATTTTCGGTAATCTTGCCAAATAGTTTGTTAGATGATCATCATGCGATCCGAGACGGTTGGATGTATTGGTGAACAGAACTAGCCGTAGAAAAGCTGTTGAAGACAAAGGGGAACATTGGATTCTAACCATACGTAAACTGTATATTCGCTTTGAACGGAGAATGAATGTTACTGAAAAAAGCATCAAGTCTGAATTCAATTGTGTAGTGGCTTTCGATACAACTGTTACAAATACTTAAATTTTTAATCATCTTTAGGCCCAGAATTACTTTTCACATAGCGAGAACTAACCAGATAGTAGTGTATTGGAGGTGTGCGCCACTTTATACAGCTTTTACACGTCTTTTCGCCTGGTGCTCGCCCTGTCCTTTTCCGATCAAGTAAAATAAAGAAACTGTTTTGGCAATCCTAGTACAAGTTTGGGTTGTTGTTGTACTGCTTCGTGTCAGGAAACTGGTGTTCATACATGAAAGGATTAATTATTCTTAGTAAGAACTC